GCTGGGGCGCTGGCGCTGGCAGCCTGGGAACCAGGCGGATATCTGTTTCTTTGTAAATGTCGAGGATAATAATGTTGTCAGAAACTCCTCACACTTAAACTTTCATTTTCAAGAGGAAAAGACTAACTCCAGAAATTAAATGGACCCCCAGTTGTTTTCATCATTCACTGCAAAGAGTCACATACCGTGTGGCAAGCGACTGTGTAACTAACACACAGGTGAGGAAGGGGCTCAAGCTCACCGGGATTCCTGGGCTCGGTGTTCTGCTGGATGGTGCAGTTGTCTGGGGGAGCAGGGGTGCAGGCAAGGGTCAGGAGCAACGTGAAGGTCATGACCATAGTGCCCAGGGTTTCACATGCACGCGTGCAAAACCCCCTGCAGTCCTGGGACTTTGGTGTCCCACCTTCCCAGTCTGCAGGTTAAAGAAGAAGACACCCGGTACAGGTAATGGGCCTCGGTCCAGCCACGCAGACTCATCCTTGGAAACTCCAGACTCAGGGCTTTTTCTAGGCTGTTTATCTTCCTGAGGACTAAGCCCTTCAGGCTGAGTGTGCAGGGGCCAGGCGCCCTTGACACATCACAGATACCTGAGCCTGTGGCCGGAGAGCGGCAGCCCACCGACGGCCACCCAGCTAGGTGCACTGTTGGCCCCCGAGGCTGCAGGGGAGCTGTGAGAACCCCAGTCTCATCCTAAGAGACCAAGAGATCTAGCCTGCAAATGTGGAAAACAAACGCCCCCATTCGTCTGTAGGACAGACAGACAACTTGTCTATGGGTGAGCCTCTGGCTGGAACTGCTCACAGTGGTGGGTGGGGGGCATGCTGCCCTTGACAGCACACAGAGCAACATCAGGAAGGAAACCAGGGCCCTCCTGCATCCACAGGAAAAGTGAAAACAGAGCAGAAATACTCCAGCTTCCCTGGACAAGGAATAGGAGCCGCTGGCCGCTCACTAGGCTTACACACAAAGCAGAGGGTGGGGAGCAGGGGGTGCCTGGGAAGGTCCTGGTGTGCATCTGTTTTGGAGAAAATTCCCAGAATCTTCTTCGAGTAAGTTCTGATAGAATGGAGCCAGGCCACAGACCCAGCTGAGCGGCCCCCAGAATGCTGTCTGTGTGAGAATCCCAATTTCTCCATAGTAAAAGGCGCTCCTTGTAGAACAAAGGGGAGGTAACAACAATATGATCTGAAAAAGCAGCAGTCCAGGGCCACCGGAACAAAAGCCGAGGTAGACTCTGCCCTCATCCACCAACTCAGTAAATATTGCCTAGGTACTGCCGTGAGTCAGAAGTCCCTGGACGGTGTAAACGGCTGAGTGCTCGGCTGCTAACAGGAAGGCTGCAGGTTCCAGTCCACCTCGGAAAAAGAGCTGGGACCTCCGTCCTTCTGAAAATCAGCTGCTGAAAAGCCTGGGGAGCGTGTTGCTACTCTGATACACATGTGGTCGCCGTAAGTCAGAGTCGACTCCACGGCAGCTGATCTCCCTGTGGCCCTGATTCGGGCCCTGCTTTAGATGGTGGAAACAGAGAGAGAAACAGGACAGTGCTCTTCCCTGCTTGTGGCCCTTACAGTCTGGAAGATGGAGTCCAAAAAGGTAAATAAATAAGAAACAAAAAAACTAATTATTTGTGATTAGTGAAGAGAAGGAAATAACAAAGGAGCAGTGATGGGGATCTTTCGGATGGCCAGAGAATACGGAGGTACTGGGCACCTGCGGGATAGCAGGACGAGAAGTGACCAGCCATACCCAGGGCTGGGGAAAGGAACAAGCATGAAGACGGAAGCAGATATGGGGTCAGGGCAGGAATCCCCCTCACCAGATCGTGCCTTGGGCAGCATGCCGGGCGCCAGTCCCCCTGGGTGTCGCTCAGAGATCAGTGAACCCCAATGTGTGAGCTGTCTCCGCTCCACCGGACAGCCCCCCAGGCCTGTCTGGATGACTCCTGTCTGGACCAGGGAGGGAGATGTGTACCCAGAAATGGACACCAGCCCCAAAGGGACCAGTGGCTTGGCCAAGTCCTCTCCTCCAACCAGGACAGCAGCTCTCTGGCTCTTCAGAGGGAGAGAGACCTTGCCTCCCTGTGGGCCGGACTATTAACCTTCTGACGGTGGCCTCTCAGCCAGCTGTCTGCTTCAGACTCAGACCCGCAGCTTGACATGTTCCTTCTGTGAAAAGAAGCTTCCCCTACCTGAAAGCAGCCTGCAGAACAATGCACGTGCACACCCCTCCACAGTTTACCCAGCTGGTACCCAGGCATCACGCCACATCCAGGGGAGGTGGGACGGCAGTCAGCTCGGATGGAGAGGATAGAGCACCACTGCAGGTAGCCCAGCAAGCCATGCGGGCGTCCCCCACAGCGGCAACCTGGCTCTCACGCCCTCTCCTCCCTCAGGCACCTGCTCCGGGGTGCAGTGGCCCAGAGCAGCGCGATGGGGCAGCCAGAGAGGATTCAACTTGACAGATGAAGTCGAGTCATTTTGTTAACAAGAACTCAGATTAGATTTCTCTGTGATTACATGGTTCCTCCGTGTGATAAATTACTTAGTAACAGGATTCCCAGTGTAGTTGCTGGACTGAAATTCAATAATTACAGGTACCCAGGATTGTACCGTGAACCTAAGAACGCTAGCACCCTCCCTCCGTTCTAATAACTCAGAACCCATTTGGGACTGTTGCAATGGTTATGTTCTGGAAAGCAAGTTTTCAGTATTAACCAAGGGCCTTGGTCAGGCTGCTCTTTTGTACCTAAAATACCATACTGGATATTACAACATCTCACAAACTCAAGAGTCATGTTTGCCTTGTAAAACGTCCAAGTTGGAGAATTCTTAACTGTCGTTGTTATTTATCATCTAGCCGATCCCAACTCATGGAGACCCCACGTGTGCAGAGTAGAACTGTGCTCCATAGGGTTTTAATAACCAACAGATAATAACAAGTGAAGGATAAAGTGATAAAATTTAAGAGCATCGTGCAGTTTAGAAACTTCTTTCACTATCTTTACCACAACAGGGCGAGACAGCCAAGGCACGTATGCTTATCCTCCCCTTAAGCAAAGGAAACTGAATCTCTAAGTGGGTAAGGGACTCAACCTTTCTGCGACTGTCACCCCCTGGTGTTGAGTGGAAAAGGCGGAATGGAAACCCTGTGTTCTTTCTACTGGGTAACAGACATGAGACTCATTTCCATAAATGCAGTATGTCCTTAGATTTGCACATTTCAGAATTTTCCTTAAGAGGGACTATGCCTCTGTGAACACATATTCTGGATAGCCACATATGTGTTTATGAGTTCTGACTCTACTTCCCATAAACTGCAGCATAACTCATAGGAGCCCTTCGAAATGGAGGAAAAATAACTCTTGTGTTGGTAGCAAGGGGTAACTAGCCGTAAACTTTCCTGACAATTTTTTAAATTTTTTTTAGCAATATTACAGTCTTTGACAATAAGAAAACTGGAACAGTGGATTTAAAACATAAAATGGTCCGTTAGATGGGTCTTGAACTGTTTTTAAAACTCCAGATAATACTACTTGGCTGTTTTGTCTTTCCAAAATGTCAGAATTTGGCAAGGATTAATGGTCCTCTGAATCAATAGGACTTCATGTTTATAAATGGTTTACAGTTTCACTGGTCATAAAATGTTATGAGCGCATGTATTATTATCATCACCGATCCTTCCCTGAAATCTACTGACATTTAGTCTGGCGTCCACACTAGACATGGGAGGAATTCTCTGGAAGTCTGGCTGATGCAAAGCCCCAGGCTCAGACCATCGAGGCCGCGGCAGGGTAGGCAGCAAAGAAGCAAAGGCTCATCTAAGCTGGAATCGCCACAGAGAAAGGACATGTGGGGCAGGGGTCCTGACCAAATGCCAAGGGGACCCATTAGGACGCTGTAAGAGTTAGTGGGACCAATGTTGGTCCTTTTCCAAGCTATGAAGAGAAGGGAGGATTCTAAGCAAGTTAGTATCACTCTCCAGAGAAATTTAAAAGAAATGGCGGATATTTTTAAAATCACCTTCAATACCATCGTTCTGTCACAGCACAGTGGTTAAGAGGTTGGCTGCTAACCAAAAGATCAGCAGTTCAAATCTACCAGCCGCTCCTTGGAAACCCTACGGGGCAGTTCCACTTTGTCCTGTAGGTTCGCTGTGAGTCGGAATCGACTCGACGGCAACAGGTTTGATTTTTTTTTTTTAATCACAAGCATTATCACCCCTGGTTGACATGCTTCCACACGGGCTGCAGTGATATAATTACTATGCTGAGTCATTTTCACCTGAAAATAACGGTCTTTGATAATGACCATGTTTCTGCCTGAAAAACTGTCTTTGATAACGACTGAGTAACCTTCGACGGTATTGACTCAATAAATGTACTATTTCCACACTGCTGGATATTTAAGTTCCTACCAGTGTCTCAGACGGTAAGATTCTGCAAGGAGAATATAAGCCAAGGTCATTTCATTTCACGATGGTTTCAGGTAAGACAGATTTCTCTGATCTTGTGTGACACAGGAAAAGAGCTTCCCATGTACCTGCTGGTTTCTGCGTTGGTATACGTGCACTGAGATGACCCCTGAACACGCATACTTTTGGTTATCTGTTTTATTTTTTAAAGCATATATGTGAAGTCTATGGACAAACAATAGAGTTACTCACACTTCACTTCCTTCATTTCAACAAATATGCTATATACTTTGACACAACTATGTACATTGATAAAACTTCAGAGGTTTACAATGAAAGCAAGTAAGTCATTTTTTTCAAAGAAAAAGAACTTATTTGAAATATGTCACAGTGACACAGAGCTAAACCATATTATGGCTTAATACTAAACCATAAAATCATGTTATAAACATAATAGGAATGACAATGAACAAACTCAATGTCACCTACAATTAGCCTGGTAGGATTTCACCGAAATTTTGTTGTCACTAAGTAGGATCTTTACATATGAAGGATCAAGCACTGAATTCTTCATTTTCTTTTCTTTCCAGTGTGGAGCTAGATTTTAAGCAGCAAGAAGACAAACTCCAACCAGTTCTGAGGAAACTCCATCCTACTGAGGAAACTCAGGTCGCACCTTCGCCTTATTCTCAGGAGACTTACTCCTCAACTCCCAAGCAAAAATCCAAAACTGAATCTAAAAAGCACGGTAGATGGAAACTCTGGTTCCTTTGAAACTCGTAGTGTTTGGAGTATAAGGCCGTCTTTAAAACTCACTGAAGTTAAGTAAATCCTTTTCCAAGATGACTAGGATTGAGTGAACTGTGGTGCTGACTTGGCCGACACCACGTTCTTACCCTGCGTACCAAAAAGATCTTTGTAACCAACAGATAATTCACAGAAGCAAGGTATTACACCCATACCTTGCCAGCTGTTCTTTGCAGTTCGCTGGTGTGGGATATAAAAGTGGAAATAAAACTCCTGTAATCAAAGACAACAAGTAAAAACTCTATTCCCCTCTCCCCAGACCCACAAGTATCATGTTATCGACCTGCAGAAGGATGGGCTGTTACTCAATACACAGCTAAAACTCATAGTTATTTTCAAGCCCTAATTTTTAAAAAAAAAAACAAAAAAGAAGAAGAAAAAGCAAGCCTTATGTTTGCAGAGGACTTCATTTTTACGTTTAGTTTTGCAAATAAGCAGGAGGTGAGTGCAATTTTCAGCACATCAAATTCTGGCGAAAGCACAATTTTTCAAGTGGTCGGAGACCATGAATAATCTCTCAAATGTGACAATATGTATATTTGCCTTCATGTGCTGTAGCGCTAAGCCAAGCGACCACATCTCCATGTCACGGTGACACCTCAAATCGAGCATCCTCTTCATCTCCAGACCTACGACGTGTTTACTATTCATTTTCCGAACGGCCAGCAAGCAGCCAAGAGTCCCCTCCCGTCAGGACATGCCTTTAATCACTGCAAGTGGACAGGGTCAGAGCTATAGAACGCTAAGCTTTCTTAGATCTCATTTTTAATCTTTTGGTACCCAAAGGCCGAATGATAAATTCTGGCAAGGATTTGAAAACACACATAGAGATACACAACGGATAACACCGTTACCCATAAATCACGATGAGCGTCCTGTGCCACCGCGGAAGGCGTTTCTGTGGATCCATCTTTGGAGACATGGTACATCACTGTAAGCTCAGCCAGAAGTTTTGTACAATTCGTTATGCTTTGTAACAACTCTTGAAGACCCGGCCATCTCAGCAAGAAACAGTGTGTTTAGTTTAGCTGCTACAAAAGAACAAACTCAATGTCACCTACGGATAGCCTACTCATCAGTTGTACTCAATGACATTCATAGGGGAAAGCTGTGAATCAAATGTTTTTAGGTATTTTTTAAATAAACAGTGACACTTAGGATTCTCTGTTGATTACACATTGCAATGTAAATCTTGGTTTCTTTATTTTTTCACTCATTCCTTTGCACCTTTGCAGTCTCTTTTTATAGAAATCCAAAGCCCCTGGTGTACTGATGACTCTATCAATTTTTTGCTTTTCATAATAGTAAGCAGGACTCTTACGTTGCCTTTTTTTGTACAACTTCGATTTCGAATAGTTTGTGAACATACAAGGACACCAAGTCTTCATGTTTCTGCCCAGCAGTTGTGTCTAACCCAGTGCTGACGTGTACAACTCATTGATTAGATGCCAAAAAAATAAGTGGCTCCCCTTGGTGAATGGGTCTCAATGTGCATTTTTCAGATTTGAGCTATTTCTTGCTGTGCGTTTTCCTCCTGACTCAACAGCTAGTCCATTTTTGTTCTAAGTGTTTAAATTCTACCAGGACCTAGGGAGCAGCAATCGGAACTGAACTTGGAAAAAATTAGAAGAGCATATCGTTGTAAACCTTCTTCAGGGGTTGGTTACTCAAACTATACTGTAGATGTACGTTTTAATAAGAAAACATCCTCGGTGGTAGCACTGTATGAGGGCCAATCCTTGAGTATCAGTCAACGGCACTAAGAAGTATTCTTTGTGTAAGAGTAAGGTGAGAATGTTGATCCCATACCATGAAGGAAGTGCAATTGTTTCAATGTACACAAAACATTTAAAACTGTGTTTCATGTATTTTATACTGTTTTTAACTAAAGTTATAAAAAAAGTTTGCAACAAGTTATCCCTCCTTATGGTTTAAGAATCCCACCGATCTCAGTGAATTGAAATAAGGGTGTAGCGCTTTCTAATTAGGATTATACATCTGTCTAAACAAGGGGACACCATAACGATAGTAAAACTAAATAGTGTTCCTCTTTCAAAGCAGTCGAAACCAAAAAAAAAAAAATTAAAATTTTTAGACTCAAAAAGGAATTTCTGAAAATATACTACTTCCTTTTTAAAAATAAAACTATATCTAAAAGATTTCAAAAAAAAACTTTCAAAAGCATTCCATATCTTAATTGCATTGTGTTGCTAGCAGATGATTCTTCTCTTAGAAAGAGTTAAGTAAAAAACTTCAATCCAAAACCAAGGTAAAAAGTACAGTGTTCCTTCATGTGTAGATGTACACCTGGCATTACATATAGAGATTAAATTATCATACTTGTCACTAAGTTCTTTGTTAATTTTTAAATAAAAAAATCAAAGGTAGCATTTTGTGTTGCTTATTGCATGGCCTCGATAATTTGGAGAACTGAAAGGAATGTTAAGAAAACAATAATAAAAAAAGACCATTTGGGCAAAAAGGAACTCCGTAGGGTCTTCGGGGATGAGACCACTGCAGGAGGCTGCCCAGCTGGTGTGGCTGGAACCCAGCGCATGCTCGGCTGGCCAGGCCATGCACCCCAGGGTGGGGGACCACGGCCACCAGGAGGTCACGAAGACAGTCTAAGAGGCACAGGGCAACTGCAGGTGCACAGCAGGGCCTGCCTATCTGCAACCTCATTTTTAAAGATGTCACAGGAGACATCTGGCCTCATGGATGCTTCCAGGGCAAATTCTCCAGTGGCCCAGCGGAGGCAGCTTCTCCCCAGATCATCATCAAACTGGTCCTCAGGCCAAGGGACTGGCCACCGCCGCCCTTTCTTTTACCCTTCCCTGGATGAAGACAGGTCCCTGGGTGGTGCAAATGGTTTGCATTTGGCGACTAACCTAAAGGTTGTCTTTTCCAACCCACCCAGCGGTGCCATGGAAGAAAGGCCTGGTGATCTGCTTCCATAAAGCTTACAGCCAAGAAAATCCTATGCGGTAGTTCTACTCTGTAACACATAGGGTCGCCATGAGTCGGAATCAACTGCAGTGGGTTTGGTTTTGGTTGGGGGTGGAAAACAGACGTCCCAGGCAGGCTAAGCGCTCGCCCCTCCTGCTGACACTAGTCCAATACTGACCCTGTTATGGGTTGAACTGGGTCTCCCACAAAGACAGGCCGAAGTCTTCACCCCCGGCACCTGTTACGTGACCTTCTTTGGAAACAGTCACTGCAGATGGGATTAATTAACTGAAGATGAGATCATGAGGGTGGGCCCTCAGCAGGTTATGAATGATGTCCTTTAAGAACAGGAGAGGAGGCAACTCTTCAGTCAAAGATTAGACTGGACTATGGGACATAAAACAACACTCGGGAAGAATGAGCTTCTTAGCTCAAGTAGATAGAGCTGAGACTAAATGGGCAGCTCCTGTCCAGAGGCGAGATGAGAAGGCAGAGAGGGTCAGGAGCTGGTTGAAAGGACATGGGAAATCAGGGGTGGAAAGGAGGAGGGTGCTGTCACAGTATGGGGAGAGCAATTAGGGTCACATAACAATGTATGTATCAATTTTTGTATGAGAGACTAACTTGAATTGTAAACTGTCACATAAGTACAACAATAAAAAAAATAAAAGAATAGAGAGACAGGCATGGGGGAAGGCCACGTGACGAGGGAGGCAGAGTTGGAGTGATGCAGCCACAAGCTGAGAAGCGATGGAGCCCTCAGAGCTGGAAGCGGCAAGCAGGACACCCCTAGAGCCTTGGAGACAGCCTGGCCCTGCCCACATCCTGAATTCAGCCTTCCAGCTCCCAAACTGGAGCCAACACATTTCTGTTCTTCTAAGCCCCGCGGCTGTAGTGCTTTCTCATGGCGGCCCTCGGAAACTGACGCACCCCTTGCCCAAGGGTGGGCTGGCCTGCGCGAAGAGGGTCACCACCCCCTTTCTGGTCACTCCAGTAGTGAGGTCCACCTGCAAGGAGGGAGCCCTGAGGCTGCCACTCCGCTCCACGTTCCTCCGGGAAAAGAAGGGGTTTGTGCTCACTGGGAAGGAAGAACCAGCGCGCCACTCCAGAACAGTCGGGAGAATACTTGAGTCACATTCTGCAGTTATTGGGGTGCCACCTACGGGTGCTGCCCCAAAGGTCCTGACTCTTCTGTAAACAGCTAGGGACAGCGAGGTCACTCTGCCACCCAACACCGACCGCCATGTGGACCACGGCCTCCAAGGCAGAAGTCCCAGGGCCTTTGCACCTGCCCCCTCGACCTGCGACCCTTCCCCTGCACCTGAGGAAGGGAGGAAGGAAGGTGGGCAAGGCGTGGGCAAACCTTGCTGTGTTAGAAGGGGCTTAGGAGGTTGGCCTAAGTTTCCCCGTGTTCTACCAGGTTGCCGAGTCGTCTGTTACCTTGCCAACCTGAGGTGTGGCTGGACTATATAAGACACTATATAAATAGTGTCATAGTCCAGGAGCAGGCACCAGGTGACTGATTCCAATTTCCCAAAGCAGATGCAATTAGGATTCCCTGGCAGCACGGTTATCTTTGGCAGACCAACTGAGGACACCATAATTAAGATGCAGAGCCTTTGATTAGAAATGAGACAACATGCCAGGACATAGAAAAGTTCTGCGTTTTTCTTTTCATAGACAAGAACAAGAACAGAAAAAACAACAAACGGGCCATGAACTTCTGCACCCCACGCTGTTTGTAGCGGAACGGCACATTTACTGAGTATGCTGGTGGATCGGCTCTCAGCGAGCGCCTTATCAGCAAGTAAAACTGCCTGTGACTGCTGAGTGAGGCACTTTCACAGGGCTGTGTCACCCGAGGGTCACAGCAGCTGCTTCCCACACTGATATATCTTCTGTCGACCAAAACTCTGTGATGGCACACTGGGCATGGGCTAAGTATGTGCCTGATTTATTTACCGGAAGGAGCCACTTACGTGATGCAAAGACGAGAGATAAGAGTTCATTTGGTGAATGAGTGTTAACGAATCACACTATGGAGTCCCTGGGTGGTACAAACGGTTAAGCGTGTCTCCTACCCAAAAGTTGGAAGTTCAAGTTGACTCAGAGATGCCTTGGAAGAAAGGCCTGGCGACCTACTTCCCCAAAAATCAGGCATTAAAGCACAGCTCTACTCTGATGCACTTGGGGTCGCCATGAGTCAGAGCTGGCTCGACAGCAGCTGTTTTGTTTTTCTGATCATGCTATAAAGCATACCATACATTTTGGTGCATGACCAGGTCATGTGTGAGCAGCACAGTATCTGTTAAGTGGCTCAGTTCTTTATCTAAGATAACTTTACAGGTGAGAGGGAATATATAGGAATCACAGAGCATATTCTACCCAGGCACTTACATGTTTTGTTTTTCTTCCCTGGCAGTAAACCTTCAGTTAGTGACCAACCTTGAAAAAATATGAGGGCCACAGGGATCTGAGAAAGGCAGGGAAAACGGCCGTATCAACGTAAGAATGAATTTACGAAGCCATCACTGCTCACACTGGCAAACGTGTTAGGCAGATCTTCTAAAACCACATTTGTAAGGAGATCTTACTGCAAAACAACACAGTTAAAGATACTCTGACAGTGTCCACTGGAAACATGTATAACCTATTATTTTCTATTGCAAATGAAGATTTAAAAATAGCATCTGTGCAGAAGAACATTCCTATTTAAACTCCATCGGAATAAACATCTCAAAATGAGCACTCCGGCTTGGAGACATAATATCTTGGGGAAAATATTTGGTTATGAAGCTTGGTAAAAAGGCCCTATTCACTGGGAGACTAATTCTATTACACTGTTTTCCAAATAAAGCATGGCAGGTCCTTGTCCATCACCCTGGCTCCAAGAAACCTCCAGTTTCCACGAACAGCACTTCCCGCCAACGATGCTGTTGCCCCTTGGACACAAGCCCCCATCAGAAGCCCACCCCCCAGCCAGTGCTCAGAGGGGAAACACAAAAACTCAATCAGGGCTGGGTGAGTGGAGAGGCTGCGGTGACCACAAGCATAAGCGGGGAAGGCAAGCAGAATGCTTCCCTGCCCTGTGCCTGCTTCTGTGAATTTTCCAGGGGTACTTTGTCTTAGAAGAGACCCAGACTTCCGTTTCAGCAAATTAGTAATTTCTAGTCTTCTGGTGTGTATCCGGGCCATAAACAAAAATCTTAAAAAGTCCTTCTCACCCCATTACGTTTTTAAAGTCCCCATTAGCAGAGTGTAAATCTGATCGTTTAAAAGAAGCAATAGCAGCAAGTATCACAGGAGAAGGAGCTACATGTTACTCATCTCATCTGCTTTCAGCCCAGCACCGGCCTGCACGTTGACGGTACCAGTCCACACACCACATGGCCGGGCAGGCACCTGCCCACAAGACACGAGCACACAGTCCCCCACGACCACCTGCGCATAAACATGCACGACGGCGAAGAATACCGCCTGACGCTGAGAGTCTAGAAAGACTCTAAGCAGGAAGAGAAAAACAAAAATCTGAAATCGCAGTTAACACGAGCCTAAGTATTTCACTCAATTATTCTGCAGTTATCAGGCTACACTGTAACAGCAATAAGATGACCTTTTAATCTGCGGCAAAGTCACTGCAAGGCTCCTGTTTGACAGCCTGTTTTAGGCATCCGCGTGACCTACAATTCTACAATTGCCAAAAGGAGGTTTATTTCTTTTTTAAAAAGTCTAGTACTTAGGATCACTGTGTATTTTTAGTCTAAGCATGAGATGCACTCAAATAGCCCATTTGAAATATAATGTTGCAAAGTATAAAGTGAACTAAAATGACATACAACCAACTGCTTAATGGAATTTTTATAAATACCACAGGTACAGATAGAAGGGAAGCAGATACTCAGTAGTATATCACAACATATCCAATTACGTGTGACGGTCTCCAATTCTCTATCCCATACATCAATAGACAAGTGGAAATTGTCAAGCCACACCAGGAGAACTAATTAATACCTCCTTCTAATGGAGAGAGAGGTCACAATTCCAATATTATTCTTGACAGTATCATGGAATAAATCATTAAGTGAAGCGTATCTATGTAAGGGTTTTTCTCCCAACCACATTCGTTTTTTTCTAAATCCATTTTCAGTGATTACTTAGAACTTTTAAGATGATTCATAGTTATACAGCTTCCACTACATTTATGCAAAAGTGAGTAGCACATAGAGATTGAAATCTCTATGGCATAAAGAAATGCTACAGCTCACCCCAAATCTATCAACTATTTTCTGCTCTTTTTCCTTCCAATCTAAAAGGTCCACTGATTAAGTTTTTGGTCCACCTTGTCAGGGATATTTTTTCCCCGATCTTCCTCTCATGGAAATTCCCAGAGCAACAACAGTGACATTAAAAAGTTACTGCATAAACCTACACCCAATGCAAATCATGAGAGCAAGGTTGCGCATGCTAAACAGGCTGTGTTTCAATCTTACTACTTTGCAGGCGCCACGAAGGCAACCCACTGTGCAGGATGACCGAAAGGTCCTTCTGAACAGCTCCAATTTTAAAGGGTGAATGCCCGTCTCGAAATCATCTTGATGCTGTCATTGCTCATTAAATAATTAAAGCTTATTCAGAATTTTTTTTGAGATTTCTCCCATGATAGTCTAGTTGGTTTTACAAAAGAAAACACAAAGGAATGTTTAAGTCCTTCTAGAGACTGGAGATGCTGGAATTGGTAGGAGGCAGCTTAGGACCTAAATCCCCTTCCTGCTTCTAGAAACTTCTGCTTGAGATGAAGTTTAGGACTCTGGGAAGCGCGTACTTTGCTCTTCTTCCTCTGTGCCTGCCAGTGTCTCAGACCCCTGCCTACTGCCTAGAATAACAGGGCCACAGCTGGGTATCCCCCTTCTTAGTATATGCCGGGCAGGACGTCTGCAAAGTCAACCATATGGGCACACATGGGTGTCTGCAAGCCAGGGGCTCCTAACCCCTTCAGGAAATGGGCTTCCACCTCTTGGTCTGGCCTCTCCACCTCCAGGAGCTCCTAGAATTGGTGCCCATGGAAATAACTACAATAGGAAGGTGCTTATGTCCCAGACAGCTGCCTCCCTAACTAGAACGGAGGCCGAGAGCAGGTCACAGTCAAGTGGTCCACTGCCTTCGGCATCATGTGCCTCAGGAGAGACAAGGTGAGCTGGCACCGGCACCACATCCGGGCTCCAAACAAGCGTTGCTTCCCTAGCTGTGGCTCTTGGACAATTTCTTACCTCTCTGTGGGGCATTTTCTGCAGTGCGTATGAGCAAGGAAGGGGAGAACTACATGAGACTCTTCCCATTGGTATACACTGCCCAGCACACAATAAGTGCTGGATGTAGAGCTGCTGCAAGGTTAGCAGGACCACTGTTATGATACCTGAGATACCAGCATTCCTGGGAGGCGTCATCAGAGAGAAGGCGCCACGCTCGGCATGCACTCTTCCACCTGTTAGATCCTCTGACTGAAATGTGACCGCATCTTACAATCGCTCCACATCCCAGTGTGCCCATCCAGAACTCTCGGGGGCCTTCCTCCTTGCTCCCCACCCCTAGTTTAACTCTGACTGGCTGGCCATGAGCCCAGTGAAGGCATCCTGAGATTCAATCCCCACTTTCCCCTAACTAGAGATAGGACCTGTCTCATCACTTCACTTACCTCCCCATCTGCCATGGCCCCCAGGTGCCCACCGTACAGACCACTTTCAGAAGTGCCCGTCACTCACTCACTAAACCCCCATGAGTCCCACCACTTCACCCCCAACCTCTGTAACCATTAGCCCATTCCAGGATGATGTCAGCAGAACCATACAAAACTTGGTACAACTTCAAGCCCCACACCATTCATTCTCTTCTGCTGCTCTTTCCCAGCTCTATGATGTGAGAAGGTTCAAAGTTCACCCATGGCATGACCCCAAGGAGCCAGGAATTCCACACCTCAGGGGTGCTGCTACTGTCCCCCAAGTCCCGCTCTGTGGGGCTCACAGTCCACCCACCTCGAGCGCATAAACATGTTTCTAGATCACAGAAAAGAATAGTCGTGATGAATAGCAAGAGGCAGGCAAACTTATGTTTATAGAATAAATGGAAAAGTTAAGTGCAAATCAAGCAAATTTACACAGAAATGCTTTATTTCCTGATTTATACATGTACGGTCCGTAACTAAACGAGATCTACTTTAAAAAGGAAAAATCTAAACACGACAGATACTGAAGCTCTGAGACATCAACTAGACTATGTTGCTAGACAGAAACAGCAAAGCAGGGTTTGTTCGGCTTCTTTGTTATCTATGATTCATCAAATAGAACGTCCTTTAGTGTGACCCCGCCACAGAAACCAAAACAAGCCACGTACTATGTTCACGCGTTGCTTTCAGAAGGAGACATGTTTCAACCTACTTGTCCCATCCCCTAGATATGCAGGAAGAATTCAGCTCCCACACCAAGGAAGGCCAACTCGCCTCGTCTGATGACTAGTGGACACTCTAAATAGGTTTTTTGTTCATTGATAAAGGCAGTTATTTTTTGGAAACGTCATCACCTGAGATTAGTTAAATGGTAACACACACTAGAAATCGAAGAAATTTAAATGGGACCTATGTGTGGATCTTTGGCTTAAGGAACCCAAACTAAGAATAATAGAAGGTGGAAGGTAAACTCTGGAAAACACACTCCAGAGCATAAAACTGGAAAGGCTGCTACATTATTGTTAAAACGTTCTTTAGAAAAAGTTAATGGTTATTTGTCCATGCCTAAATACTCTGTATAAGAGAAAAACCTACAATACATTAGAATCAACAATAAAATAGCTAGGTGGGAGTATCTCAATTACTTTTTTAGGTCTTTCTTCATAAAATTTTATTAATGGCAACTTAAATGTAAATATGTAGAAAGGAACTAGCAGAAAGACTTAGAAAAACATATACACGGCATTTGCAGAACGGAATGAGACAAACAGAAGCAAATGCTTCTGTCTCCAAAATGTCGGCCTGCAGACCCTCACCCACTGACACTTGGTTCTATAACAATGGGAAGTCGGTGCATTGCCTACACCGAGACGGCACAGATGCATCTCCACTGCCTGTTATATTTTGGTAAAACAAACAAACACACAAAAACAAAGCTCATTTTTGTAAAAGGCAGTTAGAAAAGGACCAGATAGACTTTAGGGCTTGAGATTAAATGACATTCGCAGGAAAGAAAGACGCCTTTGCCCACAATTAAATATACAAGCGTAGGAGACTGTGCACTTACGATGAGCTCGGAATCCCGCCCCAGGGAGATGACGGTTCGGTTTACTGTCCGGAGAAGTTTCTCCATGATGATCTGCACGTGCCGCTGTGTAGGCCCCTGCAGGAAGACACGCCCGTGAGAACCAACCCCAGAGACCACCATTAAAGTGCGGGCCCTGGTGGCTATAACCGAATCCATTGACCCTGGAAAGAGCCAATCAATTACAGCCCTTAATGAGGAAAAATGGGCCTTGTCAAAGGCAAGAAGGCCTTCGAGAAGAAAACTCAAGGCATTGTATTAATTATAGCCCATTAATGATCATTTGTTCTATAATTATAGTAATTTAATTTAAGCGAACCTTAAAAATAAAAGCAGATCTGTTGAAACAACAGAATGTTTATGATCCCCTATTACCTCACCAATCGGTGTTCCAAAGACAACTTGGTCATTTGTAAACAGAAGTTTGGCAGGTAACAGCCATGTCAGAACCCAACTGACCTGTGGATCAAACAATCCCACAGAATAGAAGGTTTAAATAGCATTTCAGAAAGCTATCTAAAATCCACAGGGCTGTGGAGTTTTCTATCCGTTAAGATTGGTTCTTTTATTTTGTGTGTGATAGGATTGTTGATTTTTCTTCATAAATTTTGCAGATAGGCCCTTCCCTACACGGCTGGGGCAGGCGCTGTTTTCTCTGTGACGATTGGCCTCTTTGTTGTTGTTAGGTGCCGTCCAGTCGATTCTCACTCATAGCAACCCCATGTGACAGACTAGAACTGTCCTGTAGAGTTTTCTAGGCTGTCATCTTCATGGAAGCAGATCGCCAGGTCTTTCTCCGGTAGAGCTGCTGGGTGGGTTTGAACCTCCAACCTTTCGGTTACAGCCAAGCACTTAACCCTGCACCACCAGGGCTCCTAAACCCTCTTTACACCAGACCCTTTGCCCAGTAAGAAACAGGAAGGGCCTAGAGTGGCCCCATAGGAGGCTGGCCTTTGGGTTAAGACTCCCAAAGCCTTTCCAAAGGCAACGCCACCATCAACGTGAACCAATTTAATCTGACCTCTTCCTTCAAGAAAGTCAACCAGAATTTGAGAAAAGAAGAGGGGAGTGAGTGTTGACCAGGAAGATGTCTGTAGGTCCTGTGGGAGAGAGTGAAGAACAAGCTCTGTCTACGTGAAAACCCGGGCCAGTCTGTCCAAGCCGATGGGGAGAGGTGGAGAGTGGACTGGCTGGTCAGGCCCTGTTTTCACCTTTGCTGACACACCTAGAGAATAAGTGGCTTCACCTGTGTGTGTGTCTGTATACACATGTGCACTAATACATATGGTATCTGAGGATGGGGAAGAATAGGGCCCAACTTTTCCAGTACGTGCTCTTACCACCTTTGGATTAAAAAAAAAGTCAGTGGTATAAGCATACAAATTAGAAATACAAGGGAAATATGGAGGCGGAGGTGTTGGGGGGTGGGGACTAGCTTAAAAAGTACTGAGAGCATTTTCCTGGGGGGAGAGGTATCTGGGGAGGAGGGTGGAGGGCCACGCTTCTCATCATCAATCTTGGAGGTGCCACTGACTTATTTTTAAGCCTCTGTGCATATTTTCACTAATAAAAATAAGAACTGGAAGAAAGAATCCAGGTAATTAGCTTCCTTTTCTTATTATCAGCTTTTAATATCAAAGTCTTTGTCCGAACCTAAGGATTAAAATCTAGGTCTTGAGAGCTGAGGAGACGTGGGAAATCAACTTTTAAAACAATTTATTCTCAGTGCAGAAGAATAAACATCCTAATATAATAATCAGGCCTTATCCATAAATAAAAATAATTTAAGAATGCAACTCTTCAGAGAGAAAGAGAGGCTAAACCTTGAACTTAAGGCAAATCATTTCTAACTGAATGAAATAATGGCTTTGCACCATGAGGCTGCGGTTGGCGAGAATGACAGGCCCCCGCGTCCGGGACAGTCCTGAAAGCAGGCTGAGCAGGCAGAACCATCACTCACCACGTCCTTCCGGTACAGCACCTCCAGGATGTTGCTCAGCAGCTGGCAGCAGGCCTCCAGATCTTCCTGCCTCTCCAGATGGTACTTGAGCTGATCCGTCATCATGGGAAGCAGTATCTCCCGGCAGTCTGCAGGGGACACAGGGCTGCCTTTCAGCAGGACATCCAAAGACAACTCAGGGTTGTAAGAAGCGGTTTGCCTCTTGCAAGCACACCACATTTACATTCTGTGGGACGTGATACTGGCATCTCTTTGACCAGGAGGAAGGAAATCGTTAGTGTCATGCTAATAGTTAACAGACAAACACACACATGGTCATGCATGTATGTGTGTATCTCCACGTACGTAGACAATAGTTCACAAACATATACACATAAACATATAGGCAGATAGCGTGCACAAACACAACCACGCACGTTGAGGTTTTAACTAACTGTATAGAACTATGCTGTTGTTCTTGTTGTGTGCCATCAAGTTGATTCCAACTCATAGCAACCCTACAGGACTGAGCAGAACTGCCGCATAGGGTTTCCAAGATTGTAATCTTCACAGGGGCACATTGCCACGTCTTTCTCCCGTGGTGCGGCTGGCGGATTCGAACTGCCAACATTTCTATTAGCAGCTGAGTGCTTTACCACCGTGCCAACAGTGAATGGCAATTTTTATAAGAAATGCTTCTCATAACAAAAATTATTTGAATTGCAGACTTTCTCATCTATTCCAAGGAGGACCAAAGCACAGTGCCTTCCCCAAGGCCATATGCTGTGGTTTCTGAGCTTACCTGGCCTGCTCAGTAACCTCCCAAATTCCCGGCTTTGTCTCTGTCCGCTCAGGGAGAACTGTCTGCTGGGCCCATGCCTGCAGCAGGGGCAGTTTGCAGAGGGCTGAGCTCTCCGGCTCTGCAGTGAGTTTGTCTAAGTTCACATTCAGGTGCCTCACTTACCAGCAATGCCCCTCGGGCAATTCAGTCCACCTCTCTGTGCCTCGCTTTCCTCATCTCCAACATGAGCAGGGTAATACTACCTACTCACAGGTATGAGGCTCAGTGTCATCCTACTTGGTTAAGCATGAGGCACCGTGCCTGGCACAGGTTAGATGCTCGGTGTAATGGTTAATTTTACGTATCTATCCAACTAGGTTTTGGTTCCCAGTTGTTTGGTAAAACATTAGTCTACTTGCTGTCATAGTTACATGTGATTAAATCATTTGGTTTCAGGTAGAGAAGATTGCCTTCCATAATGTAATGTAATTACCTTCCATAATGCAATCTAATGTAATCAATCACCCAGTTGAGGTCAGACCAGTGTAGGGTGGATCCTACACCTAATCACTTCTGAATTATAAGAAGACCAGAATAGACACAGAGATACACACGTGGGGAAGACAGATGCCACGTGACAAACATCTACACCAAGAAATGCCAAGAAACCAAGGAACACTTGGGGCTACCGACAAGGAAGGAATCACAGCTGAGACCCTGATTACGACTTTTACCCTCCAGCATTGTGAGAAAATAAATTTCTGTTCTCTAAAGCCACTCACTTGGGGCCTTTGTGTTATGGCAGCCCCAGGTAACTAAGGCACTCATACAGGCTAGTTGCCATGAAGACACAGAGAGGTGAAGAGCCAGGGCCTCTCCCTGGCCTCCCAGACCTCTAGCCTGATGCACAGGCATGTGGGTGGGGCACGGGGAACAAGCATCCCCTTGGAGGTAAGTCAGAGGAGGCTTCCTTCAGGAGGCAGTACCGTAGCCTGCCTGTAGGAGGAGTAGCCAGCTGCCCTGAGGGAGGGCAATGGAACAAAGTAAGAGGGCAAGAGAGAATGGCACTTTCAGAGAGCCACGCACACGGCTCAATGACTCTGCCAGAAGGTTGGGGAGAAGAACAGCAGAACAGAAGGCCAGGTGGGCAGTTCAGTTCCATCTTGAGGTGGAATTGGGTGAGGTGCAGGGCAGTGGGGAGACTGAAAACATACTGATTTTGCGGGGAGACATGTGAACAGGTCAGAAGGCTAGAGAGGTCTTTTGGGATGGTGTGGAAGGAGGGCAGTGGAGACGGAAGCACAGAACTGGCAGTTACCCACTGTGATGGCCCAAGGCTGAGCTCAGGCTACAGTGTGGGTTTGAAAGAAGAGGCCATGACAAGAGCAAATGGGAGGCCGGATGAACGTGGTGCTTGGTGACTAACTGGGGCAGGGAATAAAGGAGAGTCACAGACGATGCCCAGGATCTGGCTTGGGCACCTGTGGGATACGCTGTCATCCAAGGAGAGGAAACAGGGAAGAGAAGTGTGTTTCGGGAGAGGAGACGAGTAGGGTTCAGTTCTGAAGAGGCTGAATTTGAGTCGCCTGTTGGGCATCCAGTGACCTCAGCTAGTAGTCTAGAAGAAGATCTGTGGTGCAGATACACAGACTGTGGAATCATCAGCCTCTAGACAGTCACGAAGGGCACCCAGTGACCTCAGCTAGTAGTCTAGAAGAAGACCTGTGGTGCAGATACACAGACTGCGGCATCATCAGCCTCTAGACAGTCATGAAAACCAAGTATGTGGCTGAGACTATGTGAGAGAGCATGTAGAGCGAGAAGGAAAAGCCCCGAGTAGCATCAGGATTAAGTTTTAGAACAGGAGATCTGTAAAGACGATGAAGAGGAAGTGAGGACAGATGGAAGAAGAGGCAGAGGTGAGTGACGCCCAGACCAAGGGAGGACACAGCAGTCAAGGTGTCCAGATGTGGTCGTGAAATTGGTTCAAAGAGGACAGCCTGGGGTATGGCAATGAGAGGGGCCCAGAGACCTTCCCAAGGCAGCTTCCTGAAAGGTCTGTGGAGACACAAGGATGTGAAGATAGGAGCACAGACAACACCCCTGCAAGCAGGGCTGTGACAGGAAGGAGCACTGGCATGTAAGAATATAGACTGAAGAATGTTCAAGCTTTTATTTGTTTTGCAGATAGGCGCATACAAAGCATGTTCCAAAAATTAAAGAAAAATATGGAAACAGTTACAAATAAGATTAAAAACAAAATGCAATTACTAATTGTTCCAGTTGGGAAAGCCAATTTAACTCTAGCATCATCAGCTTTCTGATGTGGACTATCCATCTATCTATTTACAGCACCAGGGCTGTGTTTTGATTCTAGCCTAGCCATTACCATTTCCTTTAAAATGCAGAGCACAGGAGGAGACAGCAGTGCCCTTAAACATTAAATATACTCAGCTGGTTTTTAGGGTTTCACATTTTAGGATTTACAATGTTAATGATACATAAAAGCATGTTTTGCATTAATGTTTCTTGTGAATTTTTTTGGTTCTTGAAAATATGCGGAGACCTACTTAGAAGACTTTCCCAAGGACTACTGGATAATGAAGTATGGGGGATGGTGGCAGCAGCAGAGAGCAGGCAGGGAAAAACCAGGACTCAGAAACAGCACACACTCTTCTGAGCCACTGTCTTCCTATGGGCTGCATGCAGACAGCTCATGCTAAGGCTTTTTCAAATTCCATGTTGATATTCCCCCAGAAAGGAGTGATAGCAACTCCATTTTTCCAGAAGGAGTTTCATCCAATGAATACATGAATATATGACTTTACCTGTTGATTTCACAACTACAGTAATCAATACCTGGGCAGTAGTAATGTATGAGAAGCTCAGGTGCCTGCACATCTTCTGGGCAGAAGCCAGGCCAGCCTCGCTGGCTATGATGCCAGAAGACCAGGGAGGAAGAGCACAGCAAACCAAGATGGCGCAGCCCTGGTGGGACCAGGACGGCCTCTCGATGTCTGTACTCCCAGGCACCAGGAGGGCTTCACGCTGATTCCCTTATCTTCTAGTCCAGCCCCTCCTGTGATGCCAGTGGATGAACTGAGGCCCCATGGAGAGTTCCTCTTCAAACACCACAACCCCTTCACCTCATTAGTGAAGGGCTCCAAAAGCTAAGATGTCATATGAGTATAGGAGAGCCCACAGATGCTAGTGAGTCACCCAAGGACAAAGCCAGCCCGAGAGAAAGGACAAGAAAATGACCTCAGGTACAGTGAATCTAGCCTTAAAATCCAGCCAAGAAGTGTTGACTCACTGAATGTACTGATTCCACAAACATCTCCAAAATCCAGTGTCATCACTACAGAATCCTGATGTTCACAAACTACACCTACCTCAGTAACTCTTGATCTGCTGACCTGAACTGCAACGCAATATCCAATGAAGAGCTTACACTCCAAACTCCCAAGCCCAAGGGGCTAGAAAGGGACCTTGGCAAAACTTAGCTTAGCCCCTTCATGCCTGCCCTTGCTTATGATCCACAGCCACGATATCAGAGGATGAGTCTTCTTTCCCTTTGGCCTGAAACACAACAACCAATATGACCACCCACAACATGGGGCTAGACCTCGGCACCTTTATCCACTTGGCCATCTCTATCGCTGCCACTATTCTGAAGAACAAGTTGAACTTCCAAGACATTTCAGAGGGAGAAGTTAGAGTCACTAAGAACTGAGTAGGTAACAACACCTCTTAGCAATGTGACTGAGGTGGGGGGGAATGACTAGGTGACCTTGATACAGCTATATACTGGAATAAGGTTAGGAGAAACTAGAAATAGGTAGAAGGCCTAATAGACAGTCCGGTACATGTTGAAGGAAGAAGTGTGTCCAGGTACGGTTCTACAAATTCAGAGGAACACAGTTCTGGATTCAGAGAAGGCAGAAATGGCCTTTTGGGCTCTGGTGCTCAGATGCCGTGGCCTAAAGCCATCCCTCATGGCCCCATTTATCTGTCATGCTGGACAGGCTGCTGTGAACTGCACTGTCCTCAGAGGTAATTGAGTGTGTTGGTCTCATTTGTCAGAATTACTCCAGAGAGAAGGAAGCGATGTCTGCCCTGTTCCTCTTCAGCAGGGAGATGCTGTCAACCATCTTTGGCTACCTGGTGGGAACACCCAGCAGCCACCTAGCCCGGAGGTCTGTGTTAGCCTCTTTTTGTTATCTAGCCTCTCTTCATGAGAAACAGCAAGACTTTCAGAAACTTCACTGCTCTTTTCTCACATTTAAAGATGTTTCATTTTCACCAATGACCGCCCTGACAGGGAACACAACAGAGAGTCCCTATGGAGCAGGAGAAAAGTGGGGTGCA